GGTGCAGAACCTTCTGCCTGATTGCAGAAGCTGGAACAGTTTATTGATGGGGCGGAACGACTCCTTCAGTATCTGAGCTGCTCTAGTGGGAAGAGCAGTCCTGTAGCAGCGTTCTGCTGTAGGGATCACTCTCTGAAGAGCTTTTTGGTCCTTAATACAGCTGTTCCCATTACCATGATGTGATGTTCTGTGTGAGGATGCTCTACGCAGCGCCTGTATAGAAAGTCCTGAGGATCCCTGGAGAGACCCTGAACTTCCTCAGTTGTCATAGGTGGTACAGGCGCTGCCTAGCCTTTTTGGACTTGTGATTTTTGTAGACTGTAAGCATATTGTGCTCTAGAAATTTACACCAGATCATTTCAAATGTGGAAAACATTCCTGCAAAAAGCTGCAGTGCATCAAGTCATGTGAGGGTGCCACCAGGGAGCGCCTCAGCTGATGAAAATATTTTATATTTATGTAGTTTATTTAACACGATCAACATCTCACTGTGACACCAGTCACTCCACAATCGGAGCTCACTGTCTCTAAAACATTTGTGTGTAAATGATCACCATTTATTCAGGTTTTGATTCATGCTTTTGTAAAATAGTGTTGTGTGTTTTTTGTATCAACACCTTCGATTATTGTTCTTGTGGGGTTTTTTTGTTGGTTTTTTTTGTTTTGTTTTCTCAAGACCTCCCACAACAGCATGTCTGTGAGGAAGAGGAGGGTCTGGATGAGCAGCAGGTCTGTAACCAGCAGAGGAACTCCAGTCAGGACCGGGAGGACCCAGAGCCTCCACAGATTAAAGAGGGACGGGAGAAACTCTGCAGCAGTCAGGAGGGAGAGCAGCTTGGACTGAAGCAGACTGAAGGCATTATCGTCTGGACTGATAAAGAGCAGCTCAGACTGCTGGGGACCATCTGGAAACCTGAGATAAACTTGCACAGAAAAGGTATGTAAAACTGTGATGGGCTTAATGACAATGAATATGACTCACGTAGGATCCTAATCAGAGCTTAAAGTTATTTTTTTTGGTCTTTTTAGAGGCACAGGAAGAATTGAAGGTCCAACTGTAATAAGCAACATGAAGTCACACTACTGCTTGCTCATCATCACCTCTCTCCTTAACCTAACTTCAGCTAACGTTTCGCATATCTGGCTTATTAGCTGTAGTTACTACAACCCTGCACGTGACCCTTGTTCCTGAAATAAATACCAGTCGATTTCTCGTTTCTACAGAAAAGCAAAGGGGCCAGTAGGAAAATAAGGAATGGGGGAGTCATATCCCTAAATTTAACAATGATAATAATAAAACTTATTTGTATAGCACCTTTCAAGAAAC